CAGAATGCCAATTAAGCTGATAGATGAGTTAGCTTGCAGAAAGTTTATAACAATCAGGTGCAATTTTGACAGCATATTGCCAATTTTTATCATTCTTAAAACAGTTTTTATTGCAAGCTGCAATTAACGCTTTCATAATTACATGAAAGCATATTAGCATCTTCTGAAACTAATCTCCAGTGCTTCTTAGAAAGGTTCTAGCCGAGTGCGACGTGACCGGCATGCGTGTGAACGCATCTAAAACGAAAAGTCTAGTGCTTCCTCGTTCTCCTGCCCGTTGCTCTCTTCAGATTAACAGAGACGCAGTGGAGCAGGTGCAGAAGTTCAAGTACCTCGGAACTGCATTTACTAGTGATGGAAAATTTGGAGGAGCAGATTGACCGGCGAATTGGAGTAGCCAATTGCGCTTTGCATAAACTAGCCCGACCCATTGTGACTAAAGCAGAGCTCAGTCTGAAAACTAAGCTCTCATTATTCAAGTCGATCTTTATCCCCATACATACCTACAGTCATGAATCGTGGACCATCACTGAAAAACTTCGAACCCGGGTACGAGTTGCTGAAATGGACATTCTTAGACGAGTCGCTGGCCTTACGCGTCTCGACATAGTCCGGAACAGTGACATCTGGAAGAGCCTTGGAACACAGCCTTTGCTTCTCCAAATTGAGAAATTACAGCTGCAATGGCTTGGGCATGTGTTACGAATGCCTCCAGAAAGGAAGACTATGTAACAGTTCCTTGCAAATCCGACCGGCAAAAGCTCAGGGGACGGCCAAGATTAACCTGGTGCAAACATATTGAAGGGGTCTGTTCCAGACTCCATTTGTCTTTTGCCGAAAATCAGACTCTGGCATGGCATCGGGAACGTTGGAAGCTCTGTCTGACGTGTCTGCCTCCGAGACCAGAAAAGGAAAGCGGCGATGGAAGATGACGATGAGGATAATGACATGAAAGATGAACAGAAGTGCAGCGTCAAAAGCGCGCACGTTATATGTAAGTAAATCATGGTGCGAACACATTACCGCAGCTGATTTTCTCAGTAATGAGCATGTTACCTACACTTTCGCCTTAACTCACATCCTGAAGGACCCACCGCTGCAAGCCGTTAAATAAATCGGCTATTTAATATAGCTACCGTTTAACAGTTAGATACGTATTTGGTTTTTGTTTCTTGTGTATTCTTTGTGGTGAAAAATATGCCGTATATGCAAGTAGTAAAATACATTTCTGGGTAGATAGTAAAAATTAACAGTTTAGGCCACGCTGAAATTCCTTCGAACATCCCAAAAAGACGGAGCAAAACCACTTAGATTTCTGTCACTGCTCCAATCATTGTCTAACTCTTGCTAACCTGAATGCAACCAGAAATAATGGTGAAATTGACCAGACGTATTAAAAAAGCATTAAAATCAATTTTAACTCTACGCGAATACGAACAGTTTTTGAGTTGCAAGTTTCCGCAACAATCTACAAGACTTTTACCATTCCAATTTTTTGGCAGCAAAGTTGAATGATTTGTTGAAGCCAACTCGCTTTGCCCATGAAAATTTACTTCTTCACCTTTATCTTCCATGACATCATCTGCTTTCGAGTCGCAGAAGCAAGCGCGTCAGACAGTACTTCCAACCTTCTCGATTTTATGCCAGAGTCTGAGTTTCGGCAGAAGACAACTGCAGTCTGGACCAGGTTCCTTCCATTTATTTGCACCAAGAGATTACTCTTGACCGTCCCTATCGGTCTTCTGCAGGTCAGCTGGGCAAGCAATAGTTGTTTCGCCTTCCTTTCTGAAGGTATTCGAAACACGCGCCCAAACCATCATAGCTGTGACTTGTGAATCTGAAGAAACAGCGTCTGTATGCCAAGGCACTCGCGGATGTCTCTATACTGTACCATATCAAGATGCATAAGGCCAGCGACTTGTCTCAGAAGGCCTATTCCAGCATCTTGTACTCTGAATCGAAGGTTTTCAGTCATAGCCCATGACTCATGACTGTAGGTGAGTATGGAGATTAAGATCGATTTGAACACCGAGATCCTAGTCTTCAGACTCAGCTCTGTTTCGGTCCCAATGGTTCGTGATGGTTCACGCAGATTTCCACTGCCTATCCAATTCGCCGATCGATCTCTTCCTCAAATTTTGCATTACCGGTAAAAACGACCCTGATATTCTTGAACTTCTTAAGCTACTCCACTGCTTCTTCATTTTTTCGAAGAGAGCAACGGGCAGGAGAAACTGAAACCATTAGGCTTTTCGATTTAGATTATGTTCAGACGCATATCTCACGCCTTACTCGGATGCGAACGTTTCCAGAAAGCGCTATAGATAAGTTTCAGAAGATGCAGTCATAACAAAGCCGTCTACAAGCAACCTTCAGCAACCTGCAGCAACCTTCTTGTCTAGATATCGCTTATACAAATACATTGATCGTCTTGGCTGCTCCTGACCATTCTATCCATATACAAAACAGGCAGGATAGGGGCAAAACACCGTCTTGGCGAAGACCAGCGCCAACGCTGAAAGGTTTCGACCTGACGCCTTCTGACGCAGCACTTTCTGTCCGCATATGGTGATCGGATGGATAGTAGCAACTGGCTATCGATCCCATATGTTA